TTCCCTCCCTCCTACTCACTCTAAAGAGAGATGGTAAATTATCCTCAGGTGAGAATTTAAAAAAAAAAAAAAAGAAATACCTTTCCAAATACTACCAGGGAACTCAATGGGCAGAGAGAGTCTACTATACATGAGTATGTTTTATTCCTATTTTTGTTTAATACATCAATTCCTAAGGTAACAATTCTAAGTATTTTCGGTCTTTTGCCAGAATAAAGAAGGGTATTAAGCTGAATTAATCTGTATATAAAACATGCACCAAACATAAACGCACCAAGTGACCCTTGAACAACATGGGTTTGACCTGCATGGGTCCACTTATATGAAGATATTTTTCAATAAATAGGTACAGTATTGTAAATATATCTTCTCTTTCTTGTGATTCTTGTTAGCTTTTCCTTTTCTCTAGCTTACTTTATCTTAAGAATACAATATATGATACATAAAACATATAAAATACCTGTTAATTGACTGTTTAACAGTAGACTATTAGTAGTTAAGTTTTGATGAAGTCAAAGTTATATACAAATTTTCAACTGCACAGGAGTTGGCACCCCTAACCCCTGCATGGTTCAAGGGTCAACTGTATTGTAAGTACCATCTTTTCCCTTCTTGTGCTCTTTGGAGAAACCATTCCACATTCCTTCCTATAGTATATGCACATGTTGAGTCCATTTTCAAAGGTATATCCACTTCCCAAGTTCCTAATCAGAGATGATATATAACTTAACAGCTTCTCCAAATCAGGCAATGTGACACCCCCCCCCCAAAAAAAAAGACACAATCAAGTCCTGAAATCCAGAGGACAATTCCATGCTGCCTGACATATAAACAAAATGACATTAGTCCACATAACATTCTCTACAAAAGGAAAAGTATATTTAAAATAGTAAAGCATCTTTTCTGTTTCATTACAAAATATGAATTATGCCTTATCACGGACTTAAATATATGTCCCCCAAAAGTGCTTAAATGAACTTATTAAAATCCAAACTATAACTTAAGAAAAATTAAAATATTTCAAACTATCGTTTTTAAAATGAAATTTTAAAAATCTTCTTAAAATAGCCATATTAGAACCTTTCTGGAATGGCATATTAGCTCCAGATAAAAATGCAAACCTATGCCATAATCATATTATCTTCTTAAGCAGCGCTGAAAAAAGTGTTTGGCCACTCTCATCTCTTAGCGTTTATTTAAAAGTGTCTAGCCTGTGAAGCAGAGTCACTGATTTAAAAATCCAGCACTACTCCAGCCTGCTCGCCCTCTGTCCTCAGGAACTAGTAACAGCAGTGCCAAACACTATCATAACACTATGCCAACCACTGACCCCTTCATTGTCTATTATCATTATCATTCAAATAATCCTAAATTTCCCCAAGTTGTAAAATTCAACATGTATCACGCAACAAAATACACAAAGCTGTCTATTAAACAAAAACAGAGGCAAATTTCGTTGTACACTAGAATGTTGGAATAGCTACCTGCTTTATACAGGAATCAAAAATTCTCATTCAAAAAGGGGGCTAAGGAAAGGGGGGGCTATCTGCACTTTTATAATATAACATGGATCTTTAGTACTGATACATTCTTACTGCAAAATTGAAAATAGTGTATGCATAAGAAGTGATAATGATAGAAGAACCCATAATCAATAAAAGGAAGCTATAATATAGTAAATCAAAAGCCACATTGACTAATCTATAAGATTAACCCTATAAATCATCTGTATGCTTTTTCTTATATAAATGGCCCATTTTGTCAGTTGCAGTTCCTATCTAAGATCATATTTGTGGTAAAATACAGTAAGACAGAAGGGGAAGAAAAAAGGAAGAAAAACAACCCACGACAGGATGTTGACAAGTGTTAACTACCAAGGTTTTTGAATGCATTGGTTAGCACACCACATACCACTAAAGTAATATACCAGGTTCCACCAGTACCAGGTGACTTTGGCTTTCGATTTTAACATACCCAAGTAACAGGAGTCTAGTATTACAAAATACTCTAATTTTCATAACCTAAATTCTCTTAGAAAATCTGTGTACTTCCCAGTCTCTGTTCCAAACAAAACAATTCTTCAATCCAACTCAATTGTTCTATTTCATTTGCACAGATAACAGATTTGCTGTCTCTCCTTTAATTATGACACCATGGATTGTGGCCCAGAGATACCAACTATAGGCAAAAAAGTAACTAAAATTCTGATATTATGCCTGGGGTACACATAACCTCTAGAACTATCAACAGCTAACCACAGATTCCAAAAGAGATACAGATCTAACAAAAACCTTCTACTTGCCAATCACCACTGAACTTATACTGGGTTATTAATATCTTTCATTTATTCTGACTCTTTTTTAAAAGTATTTCTAACAGACTCATGAAAATGTTTTAACTGGTGCTCACAAATGAAATTAGCAAGAATGCAATCACTATCCCTGTGTTTGCTATACATGCCAAAATAAAATCAGTAAGGTTAGGACTCTGTCTACCTTGTTTGCCTATAACCCCAGTGCCTGGCATCTGGTAGATACTTAATAAATACTCATAAAATGAATGAAACCCTATAACAAAGGTCATGGAACAGTCCCAAAATTTCAGTGGTAACAGAACTGTGTTAAATCATGTACTGCTTAAAAGAAAGAACATTTGCTAAGACTCGGGAACTTTCTAAACAATGCTACTTGTTCTAAACAGGATTTAATCTACACCAGAAAATAAAACTGACAGTTAAAATCAATTCTAAGGGAGGCCTCAGATAAGTTTTTGAAACAAAGCAAACAAAAGTTGCATTTTTATAAAATAAATGAGTTTCCTCTCTCCCCCAAAACCATGATCAAAGAAAATTACAGAATTTTAGAAGCCTAAATTATAAAACAGATGGGCTCCAATTTCAGAATATAAACTGCCACCAATTTATTCAAAAATTGTTGCATAATTACATACCTAAGATAGCATTTTATGAATTTTATGCTACATTTTTTTGGCTATGCTAAGTAGTTGGCTTGAGTTAGAGATGTTATGACTGATGAATCTCATTATCTTCCATTTTTATGTCTTTCATTTACCAAGGGAGGGGGTACAGTGAAGAAAGATTTAACTTTGTCAATGTAACTAGTTCCTCTCTTCCCAGTTTTCAAGTTACAGTGTTCTCTACTACTTAAACCAACAGTTTTCCTGCTCTGACAGCCTATATTTTGACTGATAATTGCTTTTTGCACTTTTCTTATTACTGATTTGTATGTTTCCTGTAGCCAAGTCTTATTTCCTCAAAGTTGGACAGTGTACCCTTCCAAAGTGCTCCCCTGCCATGCCATTAATAGCATTGATTCCTGTGTCACTTGTCTCCCTCATTTAAGTTCTGTTGGAGTAGAGCTGGTTCTGTCCTGCTGGATACTACAGAACAGGTTCTAAGTAAGTGTTACTACAGTGGATGAATGAATGGATGCTTGGGAAGGCAACGGCACCATCACATGCTCCTTGGCTAGTTAAGCAGGCAATATTTGAGAAGATATCATCCCAGTTTCTATCCAGCTTTATGAAAACTCGGATGCTCTTTACAGCTCTAAATTGAAACTCTGCAAATAATAAATGTAAGAGCAAACAATACTATGCGATACACACAATCAGAGAAGGTGCTAAAACACACATCCAAAACAGTTTATTTAAAGGGCACACAATTACAGAAGATGCCTAGGATGAGTTTCCAGTATTCCATTACCATCACTACGAATGATCTCAAAAACCACTATTAAATGACTTCACTGTCTAGAGATTCGGTTTTTCTCCGTGTTTTGAGAATTTATAAATGAGCATACTGAAATAATGAATGACTACTCTCCAGGGCCTTACAATCATCTTTTTAAAGATTCAAGGATGGGGAGTATTTAAGGAAACCTCTTTACTACAAACACGTGGAAAGCAATTTTCCTGTTAGTAGTGAAAGACTGGAAATTTTTCACTGCAACCTCCCTCTTTCGCTGGTCACAGAGTCAAGAAGTGGAAATCGGAAAATTTATAACACCTCCATGCGCCTGGAGTCAGGAACTACGAAAGGAGAAGAGAATCACAACTGCTGGGGACACGTGTATTCCACATGAAAGCAGGAAGTCCGTTTTTCTTGAGCGCGGCTTGCCTGCCGTCCAGCATCCCAAATGGGAACCCCGACCTTTGGAGAGCCCACCTCCACCCCCTGCCTCTCACCGCGAAGCCAAAGCCCGCCTCCCCGGGAAACGCGACTTTGCTAGACTGAAGAAAGGAGCAGCGGAGGCTGCGGACACCTTCCTCTTTCCACTTGGCCTGCGGCGGTGTACTCCTCCGGTTTCGCCAAAAGAGGAGGCGGGCCAGGCAGAGTCAGCAGCGACAAGCAGCCTTGGCCGCGAAGGCAGGCGGCTCGTCCACGCGGCCGGAGAACTCACCGAACAAAGCCCAGCGCGGACCGGGTGGGGAGAGAGGAGGGTGGGAGAGATCCACCCCAGCTCTTCACCACTGCCTGGGGCTAGAGACAGGTGGAGCCGAGCTCCTCCTTACTGGGAGAAGATGGGCTTTCGAGGGGCTAATCTGAACTCCAGAGCCGAGGCGACCGGAACTGGGACCCTGGCCGGGGAGAACGCACACGAATTAGGGGACGAGCGCTGCACAGAGAAAGGAAGGGATGTTCGGGGTCACCGGAGGGAGGACGGGCCCCGCAGGGGTGCTGGAGTCTCCCCCTAGTTGTGCTGAGGAGACGGGTGGCGAGGATGCGCGTGGCGCGCTGCCGGCCGCCCCCACTCGGGCCTCCTCGGCTCGCCGCCGCCCGCCCCCTCGCACCCGCGCCTTGGGCGGCCACACAAAGGGGATGGTGAGGCGCGCCGGCCGCGGGGCGGTAGAGGGGCGCTGGGGCCCGGACGAGGTGGCCAGATCGCGACGCCCGCCGCGCCCCCGCCTTTGTCTGCCTCGTTCCGCGCCCCCCCACCGAGGAGCCCCGCCGCCCCCGGCGCCCTCACCCTGCTCGTTACCCGGGTGAGTAGCGGTCTCATCTGCTCGCCAGCCCCATCTGCCTCCATGGCCGGCCGGCCAGCCCGCGGCGGCCGCTACGGTGTTGCCCCGCGCCGTCCGCCCGCCGCCGAGACCCGAGGGCGCTAGGGCAAACGAACGTGTCCGTGCGCGAGATGCGCTCGCGTGGGGAGAGTCGGGTGCGCGAGATGCGGGGCTCGCGGGGGCACGCAGTGGCCGCGGGGTTGCCTCTCGCAGGACAGTGAGGCCGCGGCGTGGAACCGGGAGTGAGAACTGAGCGAGCAGCCGGACAAGGCGAGGGAGGAGGAGAGAGCCGCGTAGGGACCCGGGGGCGGGGCCGCAGCCCGTGACGCGCGCAGAGCCCGGGGCCCGCCTCGACACGCCCACCACCCCGCCTCCCCCGTCACGCCCCCTGCCAGTTTGGCACCGCCAGCCTCCTCCGCGCACCCGCCGGCCCCGCCGCGAGGCCACCCGGAGGTGGGCCGGGAGGGGGCGGGAGGGAGGCGGGACGGGCATTTGTCCCAGCCAATCGGCGTCTCGGGAGTTGCGCACGAGTCCCCCCCACACACACACACAACCCATGCCACCTCCTCTGGAGGCCCCGCCTCTCTTTGTAAAATCCTAAATGACCGAGACTAAATGTCTAACTTGTTTTTCCCGTCAGAGGTTCCCTTGAAGTTTGGAAATGGGGTGGGGGTCACCACCGCCCCTCGCTTCTAACCAATTTCTTTATAGGCAGGAGGGAAGGAGGATGCCACTCTTTTCAAGGACGCTCACGAGAACCCCAAAGGAACTAAGGGGTCTTCAGCACTCCTCCAAGTTTTTATTCCCTCAATCCAGTAGACATGAACCCCAACTCCGGGCCGGTGAAAAAGGGAGTAGTCCTGACCAGGTATGCGTGTGTGCTTGCCCCATGACTGCGCACCACAGTGGCTCCCATGCATTCAAGCGCTCAAATACACACAGCTCTAACGGGGAATGATGGTGTTACCTGCTTTACATTGAAGAATTAAGTGAATTTCAATTCGTAAATGTGCCTTAATGCTTGCTATAAGCATTATTGTTAACAGAGTTATCTTGCGTGTATAAAAAAAAGATAAAAGGTTTGGTGGAGAAGAGCTAAATCAGTGCTGTGGAATCGGCTCCCGCAGACCTGGAGTTCATGTCCTATTTATCTGCAGTAGGATATTAGTAAAGCCTTTGTCGGAAATAGTTAAGGATGCTGGGTGACTACTTGGTTTGAGTCCTAGTCCCCTTTTGTTCTCATTTGCCAAAGAGTTGCGTCAAGCCTGGGACACATTATTCTCTTGTAAATTAGAGCCAATGTGCTCGTTATGATTGCTACCATTTCAAGAGGCCTACAATTAGAGACTGTGACATTTTGTAAACATGCTTCATCTCTAATCCTCACAGCACTACAAAATATGTTTTATTATCTCCACTTTACAGATGAGAAAGCTGAGGCTCACAGCAAGGACTGGTTTTAGGTCCTATTTGGTGGAACTGCTCTTTATACTGCACCATTCTGATGTCTCACAAAAGAAAGTTGAACAACAATGAAGAAAAGATGAAATAAGAATGAAAAGCAAAGAATATGGAGTAAGAAGGGAACTGAAAAAAACATTTTTTTAAGACTTCTACATTCGTTTAAGGTGCCAATCACTTGTGCTCATATCGTCACTCTCTAAGGTGAATATGATTTATATTGAAGAATTAGTTCTGGGTTATATTGCAGTGCAGCTCCCCTACCATAAAACTGTGATTAGTATATAGAGAACACTCTGTATTCTGTTTCTCTGCTTTATATTTCTATACAGCATTTATACTCTTGTAACATTCTATGTATTTTATATTTTATTATGCTTACTGTCTGTATACACTTGCATACATTGATATAAGCTCCATGCAAGCAGCAAATTTTGTATGTGTTTGCTGTTATATTTCTAGTGATTCTAGAAGACTGCTTGGCCCTAGTAAGCTCTCAGAACATGTTTGGGGTTGAGAAGGGAGGAGGCCAACACCCTTCAGACCTAAGAGCATTCTTTCTGGGTGACATCTGAGAATATAGCCAAAGTAATAACAGGAACAAAGTAGGAGCTAAGACCTTTGGTGCTAGAGTTGAAAGAGCTAAGTAGTCAATTTCAAGAAGACTTAAAAATATATGCTTGTGAGCCCTGGCCGATTTGGTTCAGCTATTAGAGCGTTGGCCTACTGGCCAATGAGTCTCAGGTTCCTTTCTAGTCAACCGCACTTAACTGGGTTGTGGTTTGTTCCGGGCCCTGGTCAATGTCATGTGGGAGGCGACCAGTAGATTTCTCTCTCTCTCTCTCTCTCTCTCTCTCTCTCTCTTTCTCCCTCCCTCCCTCCTTCCACTCTATCTGAAGATAAATGGAAAAATATCCTTGGGTGAGGATTAAATATATATATGCTAGAAAAATAGATTTTTTAAACTGTCTTACAAAAGAAAAAATAAATAACCCCTTGGTTTATTTAGTCCACAATTATTTTTTTGACTTCTATGTTGTCATGCACTTTGTCCACACCTTACTTCATCCCAACAGCTAGAAAAATAATGTAGTAGAGGTCTGAATTATAGAATTTATTACTCTCAATTGCCCACTTAATTCAAGCTCAGCCAGAGTTCATCCTGAGGTAATGGTTGTGAATAAAGAAAATAATGTGTTAAAATTGCTTTCATGCAAATAGAGATGGCTATAAAATGTTCCAAGGTGCTGAAAGGCAAATTATTCTCTTTAGTATTTTTTTTTTTTAATCCTCACCCGAGGACATTTTTCCATTTTTTGTACAGATAGAGTGGGAGGGAGAGAGAGGAAGGGAGAGAGAGAGAGAGAGAAACATCGATGTGAAGAGACACATCGAGTGGCTGCCACCCGCACGACCAACCAGGGCCGGGGACAAACTGCAACTGAAGTACATGCCCTTAGCGGGAACCAAACCCGGACCGCAGGCTGACGCTCTAACCGCTGAGCCAAACTGGCCAGGGCTCTCTTTAGTATTTTAAATATCCGTCCAAAATGTAGCACAAGGAAATGTTTGCTAAACAAAGGAGAATATGAACCTAAGTTTATCACTAACAATGAAATTGTACCACCTAAAATTAATGACATTCAGCTGTATCTCAAATTCAGGAGACGTCCTGGGTTTCTGGAACAGCAGGTCATAATACTAAGCAGGGACTTGGATACAACCTCTTGGCAAGATCTTTATCCTGAGAAAGGAATAATCTTCACCCAGCAGTTCCCTTGAGCCAGGGCATATTTTGTGAAGACACACAAAAGCTTGCCATTTTGAAAAGCCATCTTTAATCTTTAGCAGAGGATCCTTTGACAACTACATATCTCTTCATTGCCTCTTCTTGGTGGTAGTTGAAATTCAGATGTTTCCAATTATCTGACCCTAAAAGGACAACTGAAATCCTTGGAATGGTGTTTACAAGAGCACCGGGGCAACCTCGGTGGGAAAGACAAAAGGAAAAGAATTGAAAAAAGTGTTGTTCTTTATATCTGAAGGCTAGGTCTACAGAAAACTTTGTTGGGGGCGGGGAGACCAGGTCCCTGATCTTATGAAGTTTTGTGTACATCAATATATAGATTCACAAATGTCTATATAAATACTGATATACACACAGATGCCAACAATGGACCGTGTACAGCTCTAACACAAGCCGGAGTCTCAGTGAAAGAGGATGGGACAGCTTTTGTTAGAGGTGGAAGAGGGAGGGGCTGCCACCTGTAGGGAAAGATGCACATGAAAGTGTCTGAAGAAGCTACAGAGAAATATAGTAGATTAAAACCGAGTCATGGATGATAATAATGTAATTTCATCAAAGGGGGGTGGTGGCGGTAGAGGAGGGCATTCTGGCAGAGGTAATGGCCAGAAACATCACTGGCATTAATCTGCAGAAGCAGGGTGGTCCGCTGGTAAAGCACTGCCCCCCATCCAGTCTGGGGACGAATGCTTTTGAGCTGGGTGTGTCTTTAGGCAAGTTAACCTCACCTTGCCAGCCTCCTTTCTGAAACCATAAATTGAGGGTAATGGTACTTTCTTCATGGGTCTGCCAATGAAGATTAAATAAAGCATCTAGCATACCACCTGACATATAAGAAATACTCATTGTATATCTATTAATATTATCTGGTTGGGAAACCATGAGGTGGGAGAAGGATGGGCTCCAGTTCATACGATGGGAAGGGCCTGATAGACCAGGCTTCTAAGGAGCTTACATTGGCATTGGAGCGAAAACTCAGGTGCAGGGACCATATCTACCTCATTCCTGGGAACATCCCAGAGTTCCTGCCATGTGGTGGCCACTTAAAAAATACTGAATGAGCCCTGGCTGGTTTGGCTCAGCGGTTAGAGCGTCGGCCTGCGGTCCTGAGAGACCCGGGTTCGGTTACCACTAAGGGCACGTACCCCGGTTGCAGTTTGTCCCCAGCCCTGGTCGGTTGTGCGGGTGGCAGCCACTCGATGTGTCCCTTCACATCGATGTTTCTCTCTCTCTCTGTTCCTCTCTCTCCCTCCACTCTACTTGAACAAAAAATGGAAAAATGTCCTCGGGTGAGGATAAAAAAAATAAATAAATAAAAATACTGAATGAGCCCTGGCCGGTTTGGCTCAGCGGTTAGAGTGTTGGCCTGCGGTCCAGAGAGACCCGGGTTTGGTTCCCGCTAAGGGCGTGTACCTCGGTTGCAGTTTGTCCCCGGCCCTGGTTGGTCGTGCGGGTGGCAGCCACTCGATGTGTCCTTTTCACATTGATGTTTCTCTCTCTCTCCCTCCCACTCTTTCTGAACAAAAAAATGTCCTCGGGTGAGGATAAAAAAAAAACCTGAGAAAGAAGAAAAAAAAATACTGAATGATTGAGTGAACACTAAGGAAGTTGGACTCTTTTCTACATGCTATTGCAGACCCACCATCAGAGGATGTTAGGAAGGGAAGTGGTGTGACTGTGTAATAGCTGCAACCATGGTAAAGACAGAATGGGAAAGAGAAATGCCAAGAGCAAGGGGGTATGTTCCAACTGCCCTGCCCAGTGCGTGACTACTGAGTACTTGAAATATGGCTATTTTAATT